TGTGTGTGTGTGTGTGTGTGTGTGTGTGTGTGTGTGTGTGTGTGTGTAATAGGTCAGTATTGGATGTCTTCCTCAGTTTCTCTCCACCCTGTGTGTGTGTGTCTGTATGTATGCATGCATGTATGTATGCGGGTCTCGCTGAACCCGGAGCTCACTGATTACATAAACACAGCCCACATGGTCAGCTCACTGATTAGATAAACACACCCCACACGGCTAGTGCATCCACATGGTCAGCAGCTCTGGGGACTCAGCTGTGTTCACATTTCCAGCACTGTGTTCACAGAAGCTTGCTACTGTGCCCTGCATACATGGGTGCTGGAATCTGAGTTCCTGAGTTATTTCCCCAAACCCTGTGTCATGGTATTTTTCTATTAGCATCTTTAAAAACCAGACTTTAAAATTTTAACATTTATTGATTGTAATTATGAGGAATATAATAAATCAGAATTAGTAGTGAAGAAGCTGAGGGAGAAGGACATGGCACAGAGGCCTAATTGATCAGATTAGGAATACAGAGCCCTGGTGGTGGCTGGAGATGCTGCTAACCCAGATTTTACTGCATCTTCTCTGTTGGTAGAAGCCCATGCCAGTACTGTGATCTTCTACAGACACTTTAGTGGTGACCCTGGCTCCTGTGTACTTAGATGGTCAGGTTGAGAAAAAGAAAGCCTGGAAAGAAATCTATGAGACCATATGAAAAGAATGAAAGAAAGGACCTTCTCTGGAAAGAAGAGATGGGAGGAAGAGAGGGTTAAGAGAAGGGAGAGAGAGGAGAGGACAGAAAAAAAAAAAAAAAAGGGAGACGGGGAAAGAGAGCCAAGGCCTCTGGGACTTTCTGATAGTATGTGTCACCGTGAATTCACATAATATGATAGGTGCATTCAGCAGGGATCAAGAGAGGTAGGAAGTGAAGTTTTAAGGTGACTAGGAACCAGAGCAGGAGTGTGCAATGCTGTTGGGAGATTCCAGCTGGAGGAGAGCTTCCAGTACGGGGAGGGGGGGGGGAAGGAGGGGGAGAGGAGGGAAGAACCTTCCGGGAGACAGTGTGATGGGTCTCCCAAGAGGAAAGCACAGGAACACTGCTTCTCACAAGAGGCCACAGGCATCATGGTAGAGCAAGACGAAATGCTAAGGAAGCCCCAGCTGTCTTTCCTTGAGCTCTGCAAAGCCAATCTCTTGAAGTAGAAATATGGCCATGAATTAGATCTTAAGCTCAAAAGTCAAGGATTCTGGAATGTTGGGCTGGATACTAAATCGGTATTCCTTCTTCTGCCCCAGAAAGGCCCGAGTCCCACTAATCCATACCTCACTGAGCCTCCTGACATTGGCATTTCCTGCCTTGGAAAGGACCTCGGCCATCTGCTCTAGCCCTCTGTCCCCAGCTCCAAATTTGTGCACATCCTATTTTTAAAGGAGTACAGGACTGGGATTCTGTTACCTCTCTGAATAGTTATCCTAGGGTTTATGATTTTTAGTATTCATCCATTAGAAAGTACAATTCACATGTTGCGAACATTTGTCATAATTTTCCAAAGCTCAGGAAGAAACTGTTCAGTCCTGACTTGAGGAACCTTGTGACTGGGTTGGAGATGTGGTTCATCTGGAAGAGTGCTTGCCTAGATGCACACAGCACCCATGTATTGGGCATGGTGGTACACACCTGAAATCCCAGTTGGGAGGTAGAGGCAAGAGGATCAGAAAGGCAAGGTCCTCCCCAAAGGAGCGGGTTTTTGTTGTTGCTTTGTTTATTTGTTTGTTTTTTAGCTTCTGTCTTCTGCCTAGTCTTGTGGAGATACTCATGACCCAGCGCTTTGCCCTAAGGTTCTCTCCAGAGGCTGCCATTGGCTGCTTCAGACTGCAAGCTTACAGAGCTTCAGAGCCCCTCCTGGTTGTCCCCAGAATAGTTCTTGCATGCTCCCTGAAATCTTATCCTTCATCTTCTAACAAGTCATGCAGCTGCTCGTAGAGGGTTATTTAGGGAAACATGGAACAGCCAAGAAAAGTCTGGCCAGGAGTGGCTTAGGGCCAGACTAGACTAAGCCATGAGGTTGGGTAGGAGAGACCAAAGACTTCTGGGGACTCCACGTTTAAGCTACACTTCCCAGTCTGGAGTTTTTAGGCATCTAGGGTTTGAGCACAGGAGAACGCAGGGGATCTAAAACTATTAGAGAACTCTCATCAGTCTGGAGGCTGAAGGCTGGCCTCTAGACATTGGTGGGGATGCGCCTGGGAAGTAGAAGGAGATGAGAGAACTTCTTTTCCTTATTACAGGACTTTCCTTCTCCCCAACAGGTTTGAATATTCCCTGCCTACCGACCATTGCTTGCTTTACAGGGAAGACCTTTCAGAAGTCATTTGTTTCTCTTTAGTTGTGCCCCTCCTACCTTTACCCAGCTTAGGGGTCAGAAGGACACTGTTGTCTGTGTGTCAGACACTGCTTCGTGTTTCCCGAGATTACCAATGCACAGAGCAGAGTCTGCAGACTCAGACTGCTGCCTAAGTGACTTCGGAAGAGGGCTGCGCCCACAGGCCCTGTGATGGCGAGCTGGGCCTTCCGTTCTTACCTTAGATGTGTCCTTAGATACAGCTAGGATGGCTCCTACTTTTCGAAATGGTTCTTTTGTCTCCCAAGATGTTGCTAAGCCCTGCTTCTTCTTGTATCTCTTGCTATGGTCACCTCTCCTCAGAGTTCAGTCCCTTGTCCTTTGAGTTTCTAATCATACATGTTTTCTGTTCCACGCTAACATGGATGTCCCACAGTGCTTTAATTTCAACACATCCTAAGCGAACATAGCATTCCTCACCCCTCTCTTCCCCAACTGAAGCATGCCGTCTGCTCAGCTAATGGTGCTTCAGCTGACCCTTCGCCTCAGTCTGCAGTCATAGCTCCTTCTTCACAGAGTGAGATCTAATCACCTTGCGCATTGGCTCCAAGTCCCTTCCCGTGTTCTCCCAGTGTCTTCTGTCCAGTCTATCTTTTGTCCCACATGCCCCTTAACCAGGGGCCCCTCCTGTCTTATCTAGGATGCCAGAGGCTTCCTAATCCTGGTGACCCTCTACCCAGCTGCCTGTCACCGTGCTGCCAGAGCCATTCTGATCTGCAGTGCAAATCTTATCGTGTCCCCCAACTCTTGAAATTCTTAGAGATTCTTGATTATCTGCAACTATTTTTGTGCGTGAGAGAAGTTAAATAACAACAACAAAACCCCTTTAAGAATTATGAAAGCTGTGGACCTTTTCCTAGAAGAAATGCTATGACCATAAAACTTTAATATAGTTTTCTGGGTTTATGGATTAGCTGAAACTGAGCTCACATCCATGGATCGCTCACTAGTCAAACCCTGACCTACAAAATAGAAGTCAGACTTCTTCAGATGGCATACGGGCACCGCCCCACCTGGAGCGTGATCTCCCATCACATTCTGTTCGGCTTTTTACTCTTTATAATGCTGAACTACCTAAAGTTATTTTTTGGCTCTCACCTTATTGCAGTTTTTTTTTTTTCTGCCCAGAACAGTCTTCCTCAGTTGTCTGCCTGACGAAAAGAATGGGAAGTTGTGTTTTAGGCTTCCGGACAAAGGCCGCATTGTTGGACTACTCCTGTTCATATTGTGCTTATCCATCCCTCTCCCTTAGGGATCGCTTTACCACACTGTAGTTCCTCATTTCCTGAGACGGTAGTTCCCAGACTGTACTGTTCACTGTTGTTTTCCTCAGCACTTAGCACCATGTTGTAACATGATGGGTGTTCTCTTCATCTTTGTTCAGGGGCTGACTGGACCTGCAATCTGATTTGTGGCTAATAAGTACATAATAGATACTATGTTGGCCTACGAGAGAGGGGGTGGAGGAAAGGACAAGAAAGGGAAAACCCATTATTCTATGTAGCTCTGGTTGTTCGTTAGTTTGTGCTGTTTCCAGTTGTGCTGCGCAACCAAGAGTAATGGTTTCCCTGGTGTTCACTGGTGAACTGTCTTTTATCAGGCAGGATTTAAGAATTGAATGATGCATTTTAGGTTGAAACAAAAATATCTGAAAGAGGCTGGCTACGGTAGGTTTTGGTAGGTTTTTGGTTTTTGTAGGTTTTTGTTGTTGTTCGGTTTGGTTTTCTGAGACAGGGTTTCTCTGTGCGGCCCTGGCTGTCCGGGAGCTCACTCTGTAGAGCAGGCTGGCCTCAGACTCAGAGATCTGCCCGCCTCTGCCAAGTGCTGATTTATTTTCTCTGAGAGGCATGGGAATCCCCTGCATAACCCTGCTGATGGCACAAGACAGGGCAGTGGGAGCACATGCCTCGCCCATTCTCTCCGCACACCTATCACAACATTTCTGGGCACTGAGGAAGCTAGAGAATCACAAGCGTGTGCCACACAGGGATGTAGACAACTCAAATGATAGCTCTACGTGTGTGTGTCCTGAAAGAACCCACCATCCTATAGTAAACAACTACATTCTGTCAGATCACTTAGCTGTAGAAAGCTATGCTCCCCACAAACAGTATCCTAAAGCCAGATGCCTCTCTTGAGGTGCAGAAAGCAAGGGAGACCTACTGAAACCTGAGGCTGATGGGCAGGGAAGAGCAGTCTCGAGTGCTAATGTGGGCATGTGAGGACTCAGTTCACATTCAAACTTTGTAAGGTTATTGGTCTTATGACCTTGACCTCTTTGAGCTTCCACTTTGAAATCTTTGAAATGTGGAGACTCCAGGTTGTATGAGGGATTAAAGAGACAGTCTTTGACCAACTCTTAGTGGTATCTAACTTAGAAAACACATTTGAGAAAGTGCTTTATCACTGTTGTTACTCTCAGGATAGCATGACAGGAAAAGGGAAGGCCAAGGTTTAGGGGCCAGAAGGGAAGTGAATGGGTGTCTGAAGCCCCATTAACGTTGGATGCAGTCACTGAAACTGGGGAGACCAGGCGACTTGAGTGAGAGGACTGTTCTCGATTCAGAGCAAGCCCTAGCTGAAGGCCGAACGCCAGGCTTTAACCAATGTAACTGGTGTGAACTGCGGGGCTGCTCTTCTTCGGAGCCTCCCCTGACTTTCTCCTCACCTCCCTGCAGGTATGAATGCTGCCGTCAGGGCTGTGGTTCGAGTTGGCATCTTCACGGGCGCCCGCGTCTTCTTTGTCCATGAGGTTTGCTTGTCCGCTTCATTCTCCATCTCATCTGCCTCCCACCCTCCTCCCACCTTCTCCTCTTTACGTCCTAGTTACATCACTGTGTTCCTTGGCTCTCTGTCTCACTGAATCATTCCTTCCCACCTTTAATTTCAACAAAAATGCTGGGACGCAGCTGAGTTCTCACATTGCCTGTTGAACTTAAAGGAAGAAATTCAAGCGGAAAGAACAGAGATGGGAGGGCTTTGCAGCAAGTTTAGTATAGCTAAGGGTGGAGCCCCCGGTAGGCCGAGTCTTAGAGTCTCACTGTGTTCTGGGTTTTCCCAGCTTTCTGAGGTTCAGGCTCCTCCTTGGCCGCCTTTGCTTGATTCCCCTCAGGTTTTACCCACTCTCCTGTCTGTGGTATGTTTGCCCTTCTGTCAGGTTTGGCAGTTTAATAGTAAGTCCTATTTCTTCTCTTCCTCTGGTATTCCTTTTCTTTCAGATTATCAAAACCAGCTGTCTCCTAGGTCTCCTGGGAAAAATCTTGGAGGAAAAAAGAGGAGAGAGAAAAAAAAAAAAAAAAAAAAAGGAACTAAGGCGGAAGGGTATCTTGATATTTTAAGAATAGGAGAGAGCCAGGCATGGTAGCTCATGCCTTTAATCTCAGTGCTATGTGAGTTAAAGGCCAATCTGCTCTACATAGTGAGTTCCACACAGTGAGACCTTATCTCAGAAGTAAAGAAAAGAATGAGAGAAACTGGATTATCAAGGAAGTTGACACGTCCTCCCTCAGACTGATTTATTAAATATGTTATTCTCATGAACATCCATGGGTCACCATTGGGAGGATGCGGCTTGAGTCTCCTCCTAGGGATGCTGTCTTTGTCTTGACCATGTAGAGGAAGCCTAACAGAGGCTTAATGGGCTATCCTTTTCTCCTTAGGGTTACCAAGGCCTGGTGGATGGTGGCGAGCACATCAGGGAGGCCACCTGGGAGAGCGTGTCCATGATGCTTCAGCTGGTATGTTCCGGAGAGCTTGTGTTCCATGTTTGTACTGTCCTCGCCTCATCCCACTCAAGTATCCCAGATTGCTGCCACGTGGCTCAGCATGAAGGGTCCGGTGACGGAAGAAGGGCTTATACGTTCCCTTTGCTCTTTGCATTTGAAAACATCACCTTGGCTTCTCGCAGTAGTGAAGGGGGTGGGAAGGAGGCTCTGGAATGGCTTGCCCTTTACAGAAAGGTCATAGCAAGACCTTTGCAACCAGGACATCGTAAGCAAGTCTTACTCTGGGGTCACGGGGAAAGTCTGGCCCTGAAAATAACCTTAGCGGACTGAAGCCAGTCCTCATGTCATAGAGAGATGACACCCTGAAACCAGACTATTTAGGGGAGAAGGGGATTGAGTCTCAGAGAATCCCAGGGAAATTGGTTTCTGCTATCTGTAGCTCTCTATGTTAACTTCATGTTGTACCCTTCTGAGACGTATCCACTCTGGGCCAGCTGAGAATGATAGCCAGTTGCTGATCTAGTGAGAAATTTACAAATTATATTGGTATCCCATTCTTTACCTAAATCCATTAAAAATGCCAATGGAAGCCACTTTTTGTTTTTCAAAATAAGGTTTCTCTGTGTAGACTTGGCTGTCCTGGACTCACTTTGTAGACCAGGCTGGCCTTGAACTCATAGAGATCCACCTGCCTCTGCCTCCCCGAGTTCTGGGAGTACAGGTGTGTGCCACCGAGCCTGGCTGGGAAGCCACGTCATATGTACTGGTCTAGTCACCTTTCTATCAGGCAATAGTGTCCACCATGAAGTGGCTTGAGAATGAAGGAGCATTCTCTCTAATACCCTGGAGTCATGACTGCCCAGGAGCATTTAAGGGTTTATGAAAACTCTTAGCTATACTTACCTCTTGGTATCTGTGCGTCCCTGGGAAATCAAGCTGTTCTAACACAGAGCTTTTTTCCCCCCTGTGAATACAGGAATGTTGTGGCTCCTGCCACTAATACCATATATCCCAAGGAACTAAGGGGAATAAACTGGCGGTGGCTTCATGATCTTAGGTAGCATTTGAGTGGGTTTGAGAGGAAGAGACACTGCCAAGCTTCCTTAAAATAGTTTGGATATAATCTAATAAGTGCCAGGCACTAAGGAAAGCCAAAGACTGAAGTCAGCGTGACAATTCTAGAATAGAAACTAGCATTTACGTAAATTCTTTTGAAACTACTCACTTTGGTGATAAAGCCTTCAATGAAATAGTTGATCTTAGTAGTCTCCTAACATGTGTGACACTATGATATCCAGCATCATTTTTTTTTCCTCTGTAAGGGACAAGTGACCCCAGGGTGCCAGGGAACTTCAGGGAGTGGAATGGTTTCACTGGTCTGTCACTGGGTTAGGATGGGGCCATCTTAGCACGTTGAACCCAAACTTGGCTGTGCCATCTAAGGACCTGCGTTCTACCTCTCCCCTAAAGGGTGGCACGGTGATTGGAAGTGCCCGATGCAAGGACTTTCGGGAGCGAGAAGGACGGCTCCGAGCTGCCCTCAACCTGGTGAAGCTGGGGATCACGAACCTGTGTGTCATCGGGGGCGACGGCAGCCTCACCGGGGCTGACACTTTCCGTTCCGAGTGGAGCGACTTGTTGAATGACCTCCAGAAAGAAGGTGAGACACTTCCATCAGTATCTCTTCCCACCTGACAGTGTGCGCACACATACACACACACTCTTACCTACCGTCAGAGAGAAGTGTTAACTACACACAAGCAAACCACCTCTGCCTTCCCTTCTACCGTGGCTTGCAGTCTCCCTAGCAATCTCCTCAGTACCTGTGGAGGATTCCTCACCTGGTGGCCTTGGGTTTGCTTCCCCTTACAGGGAAGATTACAGCTGAGGAGGCTACAAAGTCTAGCTTCCTGAACATTGTGGGCCTGGTAGGCTCCATCGACAATGACTTCTGTGGCACCGACATGACCATTGGCACTGACTCGGCCCTGCACAGGATCGTGGAGATCGTGGACGCCATCACCACTACCGCTCAGAGGTGAGGGCAGCTGAAAGGGGGGCAGACAGGAGCCGGTGAGAATGAAAACACTCGATTCACAGCCAGCCTGGCTGCTTTGCTGGAGCAAAGCACCCTTTCCTGAGACTCACTCCGGAGCACTGAAGATGCTCTGCCCCCCAAATGCCATCTGTCACTCTCCAGCCTGTCCGTGCCTGTTTCGTAGGCATCTTATGTCACTCTGGGGTCTTGAACACCTATGATCTCTTATGTCGGTGGTTCTCAACCTTCCCAATGCTGCGACCCTTTACTGCAGTTCCTCACATTGTGGTGAGGAATTATTTTGTTAAAATTAAATTTATTTGTTAAAATTAAAATTATTTTGTTAAAATTAAATTATTTTGTTGCTACATCATAGCTGTCATTTTTCTACTGTTCTGAATCGTAATGTGTAGGATATCTGATATGTGACCCCAAAGGGGTCACGATCCACTGGTTGACAACCACTGTCTGATGTGGTTGTGGTCCAGACTAATCAGACCTGGGAAGCTCAGAGTCTGCGATGCCCTCTCCAGCTGTGTGGATGCCTAAGCACCACCGCTCAGAAGTAAATGGGTTGGGCAGAGGGTCAGTGGAGAAAACGGGAAGATAATAGGCTGCCAATTTACCCAGGTAACCTTGCAGGGCTCCAGCTTAGCCTCATCCTCTATCTGCTTCTTTTCTATTTCTCTCTGCTTTTGGGACTCACCCTTTTGTGGAATGGAGTGTCCTTGCCACCCTAAAACACTAAACTACTTCTCCCATGTCTTCATAGTTTTTCAGAAAATCTAATGGCTGGCTGGTAGCATAAACACATCTCCCAGAGCCCAGAGAGCCTAGGTGTGGATGGTGTTGCCTTGGTCCTGGCCTCAGGGACATGCAGGCTGTAAATCCCATTTTTCTCTTGCAGCCACCAGAGGACGTTTGTGTTAGAAGTGATGGGCCGCCACTGTGGGTAAGACCCCCGTCCTGTCCCCTGCATTCCACAAACCTAGAGAGGGCCCTTTCCTCTTCCCTGAGAGTCCAGCGGAGTCTCTGCTGTAGTAGGTCTGGAAATCTCGTCTCTGCACCATCTCCCTTATCTGCTTACATGAGCACACAGGCACATGCTCAGGCACACATGAAAGGATGGGCAGTCTCTGACTGGGAAGCCTGTGGTGACGAGCTTCAAGGACAGCGTCTCATTGACAGGCCCAGTGCTCACTTTTCTCAAAGGAAATGCAGGGACCCTGTGTCTTTCATCAACCAGTTCTCCTGGTCTCCGGGGACCAGGAGAACTTGCTGGGTGTGATAGGCTATTTGTGGAATATAAGGGTACCTAGTCTGTGCTTCTGGCTCTCGTCCCAGATACCTGGCCCTTGTCACTTCTCTGTCCTGTGGGGCCGACTGGGTTTTCATTCCTGAGTGTCCACCAGATGACGACTGGGAGGAGCACCTTTGTCGGAGGCTCAGTGAGGTATTGGCACTTTATCTTGTTCTTGAGCAAGGCCCCTCACCCTGTTCCATGGGTGATCCATTTTCGGATCCCTCCATTTGACTCCATGAACTGCCTTCTTTCTTGCTCTTGACCAGACAAGGACCCGTGGGTCTCGTCTCAACATCATCATTGTTGCTGAGGGTGCAATCGACAAGAATGGGAAGCCCATCACCTCAGAAGACATCAAGAATGTTAGTGTGAAGCCCCCAGCATGCTTAGCCATCCCCTGGGAGGCTTCTGAGTTGTGACCCTGCATCTTTTTTTGGTCCTTGTGCCCTTGTTTTCCTCCTGCTGAGAGCCATCACAAGACAAAACACTGTCACCGTAGCTTACCTTAAGTAAGCCACTGCTTATTTTCTGCCTTTGACTTTGTGTTTCCTTTTCTTGGCCCTTTTAGCTAGTGGTAAAGCGCCTGGGATATGACACCAGGGTCACCGTCCTGGGACATGTACAGAGGGGTGGAACACCATCAGCCTTTGACCGGATCCTGGTAAGTCAGGATTCTGAGGTTCCCATGCTTCAGAAGCCGCAGCCTTGCTGTCCTACTTCTGTGGGTTCATAGCACTAGTCGTACAGCCTCTAGGCCACATGTGGCATGGGCATGCTTCTCTGGAACCAAGTACAGCCCTCAGGGTTCTGGTGACAAGAGGGCAGAGAGCCAGCAAGCTTTAGATGAGAACTGGGCAGGAGGTAAAGCATGGCAAGTTCCTGGGCGCAGCCCTTCAATAGGGAACCCAGCCCTGGGATTCAGAAAGGGTCCTGAGCATCCTGGCTCTTAGCTAAGCCAGAGAGGGCAGTCTAAGCAAATCCTTTGGCCTCCTGCAGGGCAGCAGGATGGGTGTGGAAGCAGTGATGGCACTTTTGGAGGGGACCCCAGACACCCCAGCCTGTGTGGTGAGCCTGTCCGGTAACCAGGCTGTGCGTCTGCCTCTCATGGAGTGTGTCCAGGTGGTAAGTACTGGCCCCACCCTGCTTCTTAGCAGCCCTGTGCCTGTCCTGGGGGCTCAGAGGTCACAAGATGAACATCTGTGGTCCCAGCAGGGAAAGGATGGAAAGGCGGGATGGTGTAGGAAAGGCACATACAGGGAAGGACACCGAGAGCTGCCGTCCCTCTAAGTCCGGGAGCGGGACCCCTGCTTAGCATCAGCTTCCTCACGTGAAGTACTCCTAAGGAAGAGGGAAGCTCCACATGCTCTCTAATGTCTTTTAAGTGCCCGCCTCAATCCTTTTCATGTAGTTACATAGGGGGTACACATATGCAGTGTCCCTCCGAACAAAACTAAGACTTGGGAAATGCTAATTATTAACTTCTAGACAGTGACCTCTTATCTTTACATGACATCTGCTTCAAATGTGTCTCTAAATCAGTATAGGGCAAGCACTACTCACCTCCAGGGTGAGAAAGGCTGGAAGGAAGCTAGGGTGAAGCTGACACAGGACCTGGAAAACGCGGGCTTCTCAGCCACCCCTTTGATACCACACTATGAATACAGCGGCTGGTGGCTGAACTAGAGTGTTGGTCCCGATTGTTGGGACTGCCTGAATTTCCCTTATTTTGGGGGCCATTTCTCCGTGAGACTTGAAAATCCCAGTAATGTGCAGGTGTGTTTGAGACTGCATCTGCAAAGAGCAGAAGCCAAAGCCCCGAGTAGAAGTCAGCCTTTGAGCATCATGTGCCGGGGACCCTTCTCGCCCGGTACAGTCTCCTGGGACGACCGAGGAAACGTGTGGTGTAGAGGGGAAAAAACTCTTGTTACTCGGAATAAAAAAATGCTTCTGTGATAGTTTGGGGACATGGAGCAGGTGTGGGGTAGATGAGCAGGATCACAGCAAAGCAGATCTGGTCACACAGAATCATGCCTTAGAGTTGTGACTCTGGCTGTGTTCCTCCCTTAGACCAAAGATGTGACCAAGGCTATGGATGAGAAGAGATTTGACGAAGCCATGAAGCTGAGAGGCCGGTGAGAAAATGACCAGTAACTGGCTAACCACAGCAGCTACCAGAATGAAGCCAAAAATCTATATCACCCTATGCCCAAAACATAACTGCCATTTCTAATTACTGACTGCAACAGTTTCTTCCCCAGAGAAATCAGTTGTGAGGTACCCAGGACACTTAGTCCATCCAGGCAGGGCTCTCTCCTTGGAAAGAGCCCTTTATTCTAGTCTGTTGGTTCTAGGTGTGACCCCAGATAGGCTCTAGGTTTCTCTAAGCAAGGAACGGTCTCATATGCCAAACACAACTCCTGGGACATAAATGCTCACAGAATGTTTGATGAATGAATGGCCCCTCCTCCCCAAAGCCCCTGCCTGGCCCCTGCTCCGCCTGGTTAGTTCCTCAGAGGTCTACCCTGTGGAAATCCACTCCGACCCAGCTCCTGACCCAGATCCCTGTGGCTGTGTGCCGTAAGCAATGTCCTCTTTGTGCTTCTTTTAGGAGCTTCATGAACAACTGGGAAGTGTACAAGCTTCTCGCTCACGTCAGACCCCCCGTCTCCAAGGTACTGGCAACTTGCCCTTCCTTTTTCTCAGTTTCTCTTTCTGAGTGCTACCCACAGTCCACACAGCCTTAGCCTTGCCATATCTTTGTCCCCATTCTTCCTCAGTGCAGAACCCTGCCCGTTTCATGACTTCCTGTCAGCCACCCCAGATTCTAGTCCCATGCTTTTACCTTGTCCTGATTAGAGAACCCAAGACTCACACCCAGATCTGCCCCCGAGTCTGTTCCCTTGATAGAGCAGTTCTCAGTGTTTACTATTGATCAGAATTATCAGGGATGCTTATGAAGTATGCAGATTCCCGGGCCCTTCTCCCAGCAGAGGTGGGAGCAGTGGCAGGAATGTGCCTTCTAATAAGCTCTTCAGGACGATTGGCATGCAAGTGGCTCAAGGACCACTTTGGAAAACATCTACAAGGCCCTTTGTCTGTTATATAATGATGACACTGGCTTTGTGTTGTTTGTGGTAACAAATTTTGCTTCTGTAGGATAATTCTCAGGCTCTGTTAGCATTCTCTGGGGGAGTGATGTGTATTGTCATATGCATCCATGGGGGTTCAGAGTTCTCTTCTCTTGCTTCTTCCCCTGCTTCCTCCTGAACAGGGCACTTTGCACACAGTGGCAGTGATGAATGTGGGGGCCCCAGCTGCGGGCATGAATGCTGCGGTTCGCTCTACTGTGAGGATTGCCCTGATCCAGGGCAACCGAGTGCTGGTCGTGCATGATGGCTTTGAGGGTCTGGCCAAAGGTCAGGTACGGAAACATGAAGGACACACACGTGCAGTATGGGGCCATGGTAGGTCAGCATAAGTACATGGTCTCTGCCTCCTTGCCAACCTAACTTCTTCTCTCCAGGAGGCATAGTTAATTTTGGGGTAATAAGGATAGGACCCCTGAAACAAACCTTTCCAAACCTCTCGTCTTATTTATTTCTCTGTCCAAAGCTCAGCACAGCGTCCACCGCCATAAGTGTTTGATAGTCCTGAATGAGCTCAGAAGGGTGGAAGCAGTTCATGCAGGGAAAGCCAGTGTCTGGGGTATCTTCCAACCTAGGGGAACTCTGAAGGGTCAGAGCTCAAGAAGTGGCCTTAGTCACACACAGGCTTCCTGGCCCTCTGGCCATAATGCAGAGCTGTGCGGCCTTTCCTTGCAGATTGAGGAAGCTGGCTGGAGCTACGTTGGAGGCTGGACTGGTCAAGGTGGTTCCAAACTTGGTACCAAGAGGTAAGTGGTATTGGGGGAAGGGCCCCTCCCAGTTACACCTTCAAGTTGCTTTTGAATGTGAACATCAATCCATTATGTCAGTTCCTACATCCACCACTCTGCAAGCTCTAGCATCTTCAGTGAGGACTGACAGGCCCAAGTGGGCATCATGTAGCAGATCCGACCACTCAGAGAGCCACTATGTTCTCTAGAATAGCGTGAGAGTGCAGGAGAGAGTGGCGCCACAGGTTCAGACACTAAAGAAAGAAAACACTTTCTCATTCATATTTATTTGGTTTGTTTTTTGGGGGCAGGGTCTCTCTGTGTAGCCCTGGCCATCCTGGAACTCGCTCTGTTGACTAGGCTGGCCTCAAACTCAGAGATCCGCCTGCCTCTGCCTCCCAAGTGCTGGAGCATGCGCCACCACCGCCTGGCTCTCTTTCTAATTCTCAACTTTTCCTTCCTGCCATCCTGCTACCTTGCCCTCATTTCCCTGTTCCCTGCCGCTGGTCAACTAGGACTCTACCCAAGAAGAACTTTGAACAGATCAGTGCCAACATAACTAAGTTTAACATCCAGGGCCTTGTCATCATTGGGGGCTTTGAGGTGAGTGGCCCACCGTTTCCTCCCCCTGTCCCTCCTGCCTTCCTTTGTCTTCCATGCCGGCGCCTGCTGCTCTCTCCTTAGGCCTACACAGGGGGCTTGGAGCTGATGGAGGGCAGGAAGCAGTTTGACGAGCTCTGCATCCCATTTGTGGTCATCCCTGCCACCGTTTCCAACAACGTCCCGGGGTCAGACTTCAGCATCGGGGCCGACACAGCGCTAAACACCATCTGCACGGTGAGCACCTGACCCCGCCTGCCCCGCCCCCGTGTCAGTCTGCCCGGATTGCTGTCCTGGTCCTAGAAAGTGAGTCCTTTTCTTTGATAGCTATGTCTGGCCCAGGTGTGTGTGCTGGCATTTCCTTTTCCTATCTCGAAATATATCATTGTTATCAAAGGGCCTGTTTTGTTCTGTCCACAGAGACTATAGTTTACTATCCCTATTCTGAACAACATTAAAGATAGGAACAGCTTTCTTCCCAGGAGAGAAGTTCTCCAATGTACTACCCTCTTTGAATACAGGACCTTATGAGGTCCAGGGATCTCACTGTCCTAGAAGGATATAGCTCTGGAGTTGAATTAATGAGAAAACTGAAGAGGAATAAGGATCAGACTTCTGACCCTGTCTTTCCATGGCCGGTTGTCTTTACAGACTTGTGACCGAATTAAGCAGTCTGCAGCAGGCACCAAACGCCGCGTGTTCATCATCGAGACTATGGGTGGCTACTGTGGCTATCTGGCCACCATGGCAGGACTAGCAGCCGGGGCGGATGCTGCCTACATTTTTGAGGAGCCCTTCACCATCCGAGATCTACAGGTAGCCGGCCAAGAGAACCTGCTGGGTGTCTCTCTCTTGTTCCAGTCTAGCTCCTGAGTGTCTCTACAGTAACTAGAGCAATGAGGGTAGAATGGAGCCGATGGTCCCGGACCCCATGGAGACGATGAAGGGCTCCTTGCAGTCATTCTCGAGTTCAGTCTCACATATGTGACCACAGCTACTCTTTTAGGAATGCATTTTGTCAGGTAGCATGTTGCTAAGCCCTTTGGTATAGTTTGTATTTTATCTTCCCAGCATCCATGCAATGTTACTACTGCTTCCATATTATAGGCAAGAAAGATTTAGAGGGTTCAGAAACTTCCAAACTCTTAAGAGCCGGTAGTTTAAATACTTGAGGAATCTATTATGTGCTCTCCCCAGATCTCTCTTGGTGCCTTTCCAGTTCTGAGAGAAATATCTCTTCACCTCTGGGCAGGACTCATATTTCACAGAGGAGATCAAATGAGCATTATTTTTCCAGTTTTGAGTTCAGTAAAGAAGAAAGCCACAAAGCAGAGACTTAGCAGTAGGTTAAGGGCACTCCCAGCTCAGGATCCCAGCCAAAAATCCCTGCCAGAAGCTGAAAGCTTAAGTCTTGTTTTCACACCCCCTCAAAGCTCAAATAAGGGTACACATCCCAACACCTGAATCACTGCTTTACATACAAGTAACCCGTGTCACAAGTGCGAAAACACACACTGAGCAGTCAGTTCTGTGAGGGAAGCCGCTGGACAGAGAGCTGAGAAAGAGTGAGGCTGAAATGGACAATTGTGGAAGCTTCTCTAATGTTTCCTCTCCAAGATCTGCCTGTCTCAGTTTGGGTCTTTCTGAGTCTCACTGGTGTAAACTTCTAAAGGCACACAGACCCAGGCTTATGAGCAACTCCCTTCCACGGCCACTCCCTTCTTGCAAAGGCTTGATGTAGAAGAGGCACGGGGGTGTTGGTCTGCCCTGAGCAATCCCAGCTAAACTTAGGATTTACTGTTTCTCTTTCAGGTGAATGTTGAGCATCTGGTACAAAAGATGAAAACAACAGTGAAAAGAGGCTTGGTATTAAGGTACCTCATTAACAGCTTGTCCCAAATTAAGAAGAAACTAGTCAGTATGGCTCTGGTCCATGGCTGGATCTGTGGCTGGGACACCTGGGGGATCTGATATAGAAGCAGGTAGGAGTGGAGGAGCCTAGCTCCTGAACCTTGGGAGGAGGAAAAACAGCCTATGAAAGCAAAAGGCAGGGATGAGGGACAGGCTCACAGGGATGAGGGCTGGGCTCCCAGGATGAGGGCTGGGCTCCCAGGCTTCTGAGGTAGGGATGAGGGACAGGCTCACAGGCTTGTGAGGCAGGGATGAGGGATGGTTCACAGGCTTCTGGTTTCCCTGGCAGAAATGAGAAGTGCAATGAGAACTACACCACTGACTTCATTTTCAACCTGTATTCGGAAGAGGGGAAGGGCATCTTCGACAGCAGGAAGAACGTGCTTGGCCACATGCAGCAGGTAGATAAGACACCCCAGCCATGTGTTCACTAGTTACCCGGGCTTTCTCCAATCTGCTGGGGCCTCACTGTCACCGCAGAGCAAGGCTGGTATAACATTAAAACAGCTTTACCTTGGACACAACCTGCCTCCGTCACTGTTGTAGTGCTGTGAAGAGGCACCATGACCCAGGCAGCGCTTATAAATAAAGTGCTTAATTAGTGGCTCACTTGTCGCTTCGGAGGCTTAGTCCCTGACCACCATGGCAGGGAACATGGCTGCACACATAGTGACAGACTTCCTCCAGCAAGACCATACGGTCCGGTCCTTTCTAGTAGTGCCACTCCCTGGTGATGGAACATGCAAATACATGAGCCTGTGGGGGCCATTCTTAGTCAGACCACCACATGGCCCCGGAGATGTGCTCCGTCCTCTTTGCTTAGGATATAGTTCCTCACCTTTGCCATTACTGCCACTGGGGGATGGTTAGTTTTTTGCATTCGGGTGCAAATGCTCCATGCATTTCAGGAGCTTAGCATTCCAAATAGTCATACCTCCCCTTCACCCCCAATTTTAACAAAACCTCTCTGAACACAGCCAGATGTTCCCCGGGGGATCTCTAGTTGAGAACCAGCGATTGTGATAAGGAAAATGGGGTCCAGAGAGAAAAAATATTTTCAGGGCTACTTAGCAAATGTGAATTAGAGCTGAACCTGCCTAGGTAAGATGATTTTCTACACACCTTCACCTTTCTTGAGCCTGATGAATGAGTGTAGACAGTTGTTATTGTTGGCTTCCATCTCCACTAATTGGGCTTCAGGGGAAAGGTCTCATTCATGGGTAGTACCACGGCCCAGCTGACCTGGCTGATCCCTCTTAAGCACCAATGTTTTTCTATTCACAAAGAATTCCCAATATCTCAGGTTCATAGAAAAACTGACATAGTATTCTGAGGTCCTCCCTGGAGCAGCCTAGTGAGGTTACAGAGGACATTTCCATGTCAGTGATGATGGTGACTGCCAAGCTGCCATACTAAAAAGTACACACCGAGGTTGAAATGGGATCTGGCAGTAGTGGAGGGAAGAGAGCTGTGTGGGTACCTAGTCCTTTAACTGACTGCCCGTGCACTTGATCAAGGGCCAGCTCACCTTGGGTCCCTACCTGTCTCGGTCAGGCTTCCATGTCCTGAAAATCCAGGACCCATTCTTTCTGTATATTTAGATCTCTGAAATTCATTAGGATTCTTTCCTCTAATTTTTCTGATTTTCCCCCCCTCAGGGTGGAAGCCCAACTCCCTTTGACAGGAATTTTGCCACTAAGATGGGTGCTAAGGCTATGAATTGGATGTCTGGGAAGATCAAGGAGAGTTACCGTAATGGTATGTGGGGCGGGAGGGTGAGCCCCCTCTGCAGAGGTTCACCCACAGTTGAGAAACTAACTGACCCGCCTTTATTCCAGGACGGATCTTTGCCAACACTCCAGACTCAGGTTGCGTCCTGGGGATGCGGAAGAGGGCCCTAGTCTTTCAGCCAGTGACTGAGCTGAAGGACCAGACAGACTTTGAGTAAGTTATTATGACATTCTAGAATGGCCCTCTCCCTGCCATTAATTGTCGCTAATGCTTTTCTTTTTGTACCACCAGTAGGCATTCATGCCTTAAAGCTAGCCTCTTCTGCCGACCTTCTTCCCATTAACCTTTGATAGAAGTTCACCAGGGTACGATGATAGCGCCTCACCGTTACTCTGTTTCTCCATAGGCACCGAATCCCCAAAGAACAGTGGTGGCTGAAGCTGAGGCCCATCCTCAAAATCCTAGCCAAGTACGAGATTGATTTGGATACCTCTGACCACGCCCACCTGGAGCACATTTCTAGGAAGCGGTCTGGAGAAGCTGCTGTCTAGACCTTTTTGGAGTGAGGGGGAAAGATTACCTGATCATGGTCAGCTCATGCCCTGGTAGATCGAAGTCCATGATTTCTCAGTGTTCTCACTCTGGCCCCCTGCCCTTTTAGGTTTCCTTGTCCTCTGTACCCGCAGCCAGGATTAGCTGTGGCCAGGAGCTGGGGAAGGGGCAGTGAGCGACTCCCCCTGTCCCCCAGCTTCAGCTGTCACATAGGCTGGACCTCTCTCATGCTACTGCTAGGTTTCAGCTACTCCAGAGTTTTCCTAAGCTTTATTTATTTCTTTGTGATAACAGAGTCTTAGACCCCTTACCTCTCACCACAGTGATGAAGTATAACTACACTAATAAATGCCAGCTGCTCACTGTGCTTTGGGGTGCTCTGTTATTATCGTCACGAGGGGAGTGTAATGGCATCAGCCCTGTGTCCCAACCCAGACAGAAGTCCTGTGAGAAAAGCACATGCAAGTGTGCTGTGCAATTCGGCTTGGAGTTTTTGTTTGGTTTGTTTTTTTAGCATCTCTTGGATGCCCAGAATGCAGGGTACTGGTCCTCGGCCCCATCTCCTGCTAGCCCCTCTATCATCTACAGCCAAGACGGCGTGCCTGTCTCCGAGCATAAAGTTGTTTTTTTTTTTCTAGCCGTCTCACAATCTCCACTCAACTCAGCATTCTTTTCAACCCTTTCTTGGATGAAAGCCGGACTCTGTCTGTCAAAGCGTCTGTGGGAAAGACATGGACATTTTGGAAGCCTGGACAATAGAGACACCAGGTTCTGTACTGTCCAGGCCGCGTTGGTTGGAGAACACAGTTTGGAAGGATGTCCGCTCTGACTCAGCTGAAGTTTGTCTTCTGTTCTACAACAGACGCTGTGTCTTCATTGCTCAAGTGTCGACTGCAGCCTCGGGTTGGGACTCCAGACTGTACCCCACGTTGACAGGAGGGTGTCCTGTTTTTGATCTGAAGTTAGGATTAGCCTCCGCACAGCAGACCATGACTCTACGTTCCCTATATGCCTGTTCCTCCCAATCCACAAAGCTTTCTTCCTTGCTGCTGAAGCAGGGAGACAGTCACAGTACTGCAGCAGGCGCCTGGCTGTCTGCAGAACCACACTCTACCTCACAGCAGTTCTAAACAGGCTGCTGCCAAAGTCTGCGGGTAAGGCAGCTGAACACCCGTCGGCATTCTTTAAAGGCCGGAGAAATTAACATTAAGCACCAAGTGCTGTTAGGCATTCTACATGTTAGCATTGAATCCCAAAAATAGCATTATGAGGGGCATGCTGACAACCCTCTTCAGAGATGAGGACAGTGTCTTGGAGTGACCAATGTCTCTTAGGTTTTAGAGCCTAACAGAACTGGGAGTCAAACTGATCTTTAAAAAATTTGTTTAAAAAAAAAAATTTGTTTTTCAGTCAGGTGTGGTGGCACACACCTTTAATCCCAGCACTTGTTACTTGTGAGACAGAGGCAGGTGGATCTCTGTGAGTTCCAGGCCAGCCTGGTCTACAGAGTTCATTCTACGACAGCCAGGGCTACACAGGGAAACCCTGTCTCAAAAAACAAAAAAGCTGATGCCTAGTTTAATTCTGAAGCAATTCAGCCTTGGTGAGTAGAGTTTGGGCTTTAGCATTTAACTTCCCTGCACGGCCTTTGATAACTACGAGGCTGAAAGCCTCTGTCTACAGTAGTGGATCTCATTCCTGGCTGCACTGTAGAAGCCTTTAAGATCAACCCAGCCCTTCCTCAAGAAATCCCAAGCAAAACAAGGCTGATATCTTGGCCTAGTGTTTTTAAAGATTCTTCAGAGTCTTAATTTGTAACATTTTTCTTTTTAAACATTTATTTTAAAACATTAACATGTTTACCTACATGAGTTTAAGTGACCACTTGCAAGCAGGAGCCTGGAGAGATCAGATCCCCCTTGGAGTTACAGATGGTTGTGAGCCACCATGTGGGTGTGGGGAGCTGACTCCCAGTCTTCTACAGCTCGGCCATCTCTCTAGTCTCCTCTTTGTGTCTTTGGTGGTCACCCACTATTATCACTGAGCTACAACCTGCAGCCGAAGTTAAGAATAAAAGCAGGAATTTCAAATCTGGGTAAGGGGATGAATGAGCAAAGTGGGAGCTTTTTAAATACTGTGCCCTAGCTTTCCTGCCCACCCATGCCTGGAACCACTTGCTGGGAGGAGATCGAAAGGCACAATGAAGGGCCAAGCAACCTCTTAGCAATGGGCAGAAGAGGAAGCAGAGAAAAGTAGAAACTGGAAGTTGCCAAATTTGCTTTTAGAATTATTTATTTATTCTTTTTTTCAAATGGGCAAACCCCAGCAACAGCGAAGGACAAAAGCAGGCAAACTTTTTGAGTTAGCTGCGTGAGAAGGTCCTATTCACTCAAGTGTAGTTTCAGCCAGCTTTTTAAAAAGTGCTTTCCAAACTTGCGTACAGATCACTTAAGGTCAAAATCAACTTCATCTGGTTTCAGAACACGAAAAGCAAGAACATTGTTCGCCAAAACAGGTCTTTTTAGGGTGGGCGGGCCAATTCCAAAGAAGCCCTTTATATTCTGTTCCCATCTCCACTTCCCCACCATTTTCTATAGCTCAATAAAAAGCAAACGTTCCAAGAGAGTAGGAAAAAAAACAAAACAAACAAGCAAAAATCTCCAAACCCTTAGGGAATGAAGCTCCACGGGGCAGGCAGCGCTGCCCAGCCTCCCTTGCTAAGAAACACCCTCATCTACGGTGCAGGAAATGTGCTCGGCTCATTGGTGCAAAGGAGTTTTCATGGAAAGAACAACTAGAAGAATGGCCTGCCAGTTCTGGGACTGCTGCGATTCCACCTCTCCTCTTGTGGGAGCAGCAAGATACCCCCGTGAGATCACATTGCTGGAGGACTAGCCCTTCAGCACGACTATGGAAAAAGGCAAAGACGGTTCTTTCTTGTGGTGAGGAGAAAGGGCCGGTCCTTCTGAATGCCCAGTTCTGAGTCTACACCCCATCTGAAGTTCAAGCATTCATCCTTGGAACATAATTCTTGTTAATTGAAATTGTGATTTTTCTTAAACTTCAGATCAACTCAAAGCTTTTAGAAGGAGCTCTTTCACAATGCTAAACCATGGCCCAAGGAAAACCATGTACTCTGAGCACTTTACATCTTCCTAGGGAGGTTTTGTTACATTGCTGACTAGTGTCCTAAGGGGAAGACTTCTTTTGCAGGGTTGAATATAAAAAGGCAATTAAGCAATAAAACAGCAAACAGAAGTGAGGTAATTTTTTTTTTTTTTTTTTTTTTTTAGGTTTGGTTTGGTTGCTAGGTATGGGAGGGGAGGTGGTACATACATTACTGTTGTGATGTGTTGCCTCAAAATCCACAAACCACGCAACAGGAACAAGCTCTTTTCTGTGTTCCACAAGGAGACAGTATTGAAAGAAAACCTCACCCTGAGTTGTCTGCACGGCGGCAGGAAGGTCCCCTGCAGGCTACTGTAAGAGCAACAGGTATTCCTTCAGAGACGCGGGCAGCGGAAGGCCCTTCACTGCATCAGGCAGGTACTGCAGACCCAGGCTCCGGCGGACAGCGTAGCGGGCCAGGGTTTTCAGAGTCCCTGGTGCTGAGCACAACACAGTCAGTTTCTCACACAGCTGCTGGTCTTTGGTCACTTCTCGTGGCATGGTACCATTTTTCCTTAATTCAAAGTGTCCAACAGCTCTGTGGAGGAGCTCGAAGCAGGAGTCTTCTTTCTCTGTCCCAAGTCCTCTAACCAGCAGACCCACCAGGCGGGAGATGGGCGTCTGGCCTTTTAAGTTGATGACTCTCACCTCAGCACCATAATCAAGAAGGATGCTGACACTCTCGAGATTTCCCTTCATGGCAGCCCAGCTGAGCGGCGTGTCGTTGTTGTAATCCAGGGCATTGACAGAGGCCCCACTCTCCAGGAGAGCCCGCACGCACTCAGCATTGTTCTTAAATGCTGCCCAGTGAAGTGGAGTATCTCTGTTGCCATCCAGTGCATTGGGGTTCGCCCCATATTCCAACAGGACCTCCACACAAGCCTCATCTTTCTCTGCTGCATAGTGGAGCGCTGTTCGATTGTAGCCATCCAGGGCGTTGACCTGCAGAAAGGAAGGACCTGTTTAACAGTGGGCAGCTTACTGGGAAGAGGCTGGCAAAGAACTAGCCTGATTTCCCCACTGCCTTTGCCAAGCAGTGCTCTCAACAATAAGGTAATGTACAATTTCCCCGAAGTCTCGGTGGTCAAGATGGAAAGACGGGAACACACAGGAACTGTCTGCAAATGGCCACCACTAAGGGGCTGAACTGTCTGCAAATGGCCACCACCAAGGGGCTGGTGGGACTCAGTGTCTACTTCTCTACTCATTGGCTCCTCTGCCACAGAGCAGCGAGTGAGGAGGGGAAGATGAAGTCCAGGTCTTCAATACTGCTCTAGGAGATTCTGATTATTTCACCCTGACACTTTCCATATCCTGTGATTAATGGGAACCAGAGAGAAACATAATGAAGTCAAAACCCTGTCCTTTTAGCTGTGGTGTTCTTTTAACCCTACGGAGAACTCAGATGAACCCATGTAGCAGGACGATCACACACTTGTGGTACTGAAATGGCAGTTGCTTCACTGACTCTGTCATTAAGGTCATCTTAACATACACACGACAGAGCCAAACCAAACCATTTAACGGAGTTAGCCGTTTGTTTTGCTAAGTCTCACTTTCATTTTTGTCACCGGTATTAATCACTCAGGGTATAACCAGTTTCTCACTTCAGGGACATTTACATTACAAATACATTTATAATCCAAAAATTATAGACTAGCTAGTGCTAAGCAGAGAACATCATGGCCGTGTGGAGATGTTATGGTGGAATCTGAATCTTCGGCTTACTGTCCAATGTGTGTGGGACTGCCTGCACACTGGCTGGAAGCCTGTCTGATTCAAGCCAGCAGCTCAGCAGGTTCCACCTTCACGACCGCTCCCTAACAAAGCTACTGGATTAATCTGCCAAGTACTTACTTAGCAACGGCCACAACCTGGCAATCCCACACTTTCAATCTTGTTACATTCCCTTTTTATAGATGGGGAAATGGAGACAAACGAAGGGTTTAAGGAATCTGTTCAAGATCACACAATTGGAAGCACTTGTGCTGGAGATGAAATCTGGTTCCAGAGTCGTTTGGGGGATAGGTGGGCAGCTTTGGACAGTCTTGTAATGGGCTCCAGCTGCCTCCACTCACAGTCGGACTCACTCCTCCCAGGGCTGGGATCACACAGCACTACTTCCCATCAGGCCTGGCTCAAAATCTATCCCTTTAATAATCATTCTTTACATTGTTACTTCAGGCCAAAGCCAAGAGTCTACTTTTAAAACTTAATCTTTGATTTTTCTCTTAAGATACATTACAAGGAAGATAGACCAAGCTATACTAAAAATAACTAGTGGGCAAAAGAGGGGCACAAGTGGCCGGATCCAAAGGACAGGATGGCCTCATGATGAAAATCTGCAGAATCTCATGTTTACAAGTATCTCACAGGGCTTAGAATTAATCAGAGTGGAAAGCCTCTGTGCTTAGGGTAACTAGATAATCAGCAGAGGAGTAGTCAGCGGAAATATGAACAACCCCCAGGAGGTGGGCAGGGAAGGAAAGAAATAAAATTCCTCCCGGAGCCATGTTCAGCTTACATGAACAGGGGGGAAAGGGAAAGGTACTATCCTTAGAGTTATTTCATGGCTTCACATTTACACCTTGCTTTGGTAGCATATATGCCAACGTCACCATGAGTTACAAAGTAAGCTGTAAGGCGCAAAGGGATATTTAAGAGCACTCGAAGGTCAAGCCTTCCCAACTCACGAGTGTGGAAGCACTGAAGCCGTCACTCACCTCCGCTCCCTTCTCCAGGAGTAACTCCACACAGTCAGCGTCAGACACCATGCAGGCACAGTGCAGGGGCTTCAGGGTGCCGTGCGTGCAATTCACGTCCGCTCCCTGCAGGAGGGTTCAGAAGACAGACGTGACAGATGGACAACGGGCTCCTAACCCTGAATACACTGAAGCACAAGTACCTATTACTCCTAGGAATGAGTTCCAGTACTCACACCAAGGGAATACCGAAGAGGAAGAAAGGAAGCCAGCTCCCAAGACCAGGGGCGGAGAGGTGGCTTGGTGGTTAAGAGCACTGGCTCTTGAGAAGGACCAGGATTCAATTCCCAGCACCCACGTGGAGGATCACCACTTCCTCAGGCACCAGGCATCCCTGTGGTGCACAGTTACCCAGATTAAGCTATTAAGTTTCTCTACAACACAGCCTGCCAAAATGGCCACCTGGACACCCCTGAGGACGTGACCTTAAAAAGCTGAAGGAAGCCAGGCGGTGGTGGTGTATGCCTTTAATCCCAGTACTAGAGAAGTAGAGGCAAGTGGATCTCTGTGTGTTCGAGGCCAGCCTGCTCTACAGAGTAAGTTCCAGAACAGCCAAAGCTATAAAGTGAGAAATCCTGTCTCAAAAACAAACAACAAAACAAAACAAAAACCAAACAACCCAAAGAAGAAAAGCCAGACCAGCTGCAAGTCAGGAGAAAATGAGTCTCTCAGACTGAGGCCAGAACTATCAGGCTCTTTTTGCAGTTCAACAAATGACCACCACTAACTGTAAGGCCATCTTAATGTCTGTTCATAAACTCTTCAAGGCAGCCCAAGTCTCAGCATTGCTCCTAGTCTGATGGGGAAGGTTCAAAGTATGACATTCACATCAAAGCCTGTGTGACGGCAGCAGGGCTGGAATCGGAACACGACCAAGGCCCTCCTGCCCAGTCTTCTGACCCTACTTTGCTGAGAAGCAGCACTCGGCACCTTCCTGCTGCAGGCACGCAGCCCTGCAGCAGTTCCAGAACCCTGGCCAACAGTCATTTTAAACCATGAAGTGTGGAGTAACTACGTGGTTACACTTTCCAAAACATGATTCTGTACCTCTCTTTAGAGGGGGAAAAGTACCAAAATGTTCTAGGGTATGAGTCATGTAACAGAACTACTGATAGCAGTGCTCACAGGTCAGAGAAAGGGTTTCCTTTCTTAAAAAAAAAAAAAAAAAAAAAAAAATCAGGCCGGTAGCCATTGTAACCAAGCAGAAAAGTGAAATCTCTCCATGTAATCACCATAACCCAGGTTTGAAGGAAACCTCCAAGGATTTAAAAACTGACCCCCCCCCCCCTTTGTCTCCTGCTACCCTTAGTAAAACATGTACAAAGGACTCTGGGCTACATGGCTTTCACATGTGTGCATGCAGCAGATCAGACAGACTTTGCAAAACAAAACAACAACCATAAGAGTAGTGTCATCTAGAATATATTTTATGAAGAAAAACATCAGGGACAGAAAGTGAAAGGGGAAAGCAGGTGAAGCAAAAGTTGGGGAATGTACCGTAATGATCAGACTGTAAACACTGACACACAGAGCACGTGTGAAATCAAGGGTGCCCCGTGAAGACCGGCCAGGGTTTAGCAGGGATCCCCCACCTCCCTCAGAGGTCTGCTGTCAGGACTAGCCTACTCACCCCTCTGATGAGGTCCTCCACGTTGTCATGTGGGAAGGAGCGGATGGCAGCGATTGTTCGGATCAGGCGTTCTGAGAGGGAGTATTTGCTCTGAATGGTCTGCATAATATACCACATGCTGGAACTCATCAAGGCTCAGAGGATGTTCACATGCTCCAAACTGCCTGAAACAAACAAGTGTTAGGCATACGCAATACCACTGAGTACACCGCTCGGTAGGGTTATTAAGCATTTTCTGAGGGCTTCCCAATCTAAAAACAGACTTCAAGGAGATCCGTGACTAACCAGTGGTGCCTCCTGCAATAGTAAGGGACTAGATTAGAGCAGCTGCTAGGATGTTAAGTAAACCCGGATACTCTGGGCCTGTGTTCTACTCTCTGATGTGATGAGACCAAGATCTCCCTAAGAAGTCTGGTTCTAAGATCCTCCTGGAGGACCACATGGTCCACAAGGCTGGCAAGGAGGAAGAGTTCTGGAAGGCTAAAGATGGTACCACACACTCCTCTCCTCCTCAGTAACCCCTTCCAACACACTTGTGCACACATCACTGTTTCTCTGTCTTCTAACTCCTCTGCTCAGTAAAGCTAACCAACACATCACACACAATGTAGACATTTGACAAATGTCGGTTGTTTGACAGAGTATGAAGATGCTTGGTACCCGTGGGGCCAGGAGACAAACCTATCCTGATGATAAGTCGCCTGCGGATATTTTCAAATATTTGACAGAGAAAAACAAGAAATAAGGTAACATTCTAAATTACGGAAGAAAGTGAGCGTATAACTACTCTGGAATCAACATAAATTTTTAAAAGTTCATACCAATAAAATATGCTTTCAGGTATAGGAAATAAGCAATTTAAAATAAAAAACATTTCAATAATTGGCTAGTCAACATGCCTGAGAAATAGAGTTGTACAAATGTGTTGAAACCGCTTTATGAAAGAATTCTAGGATGAGAGGAGAAAATAAGTCAACATACTTCGATTCAACTATGATAAAGTTTTAACTACATAGATGTAGTTAAGTGGCACATCTGAAAATGACAGCTGACAAGGTGATGTTTATTATGAAAAAAAAGCACTGATCAGAAACTGGAGAAAAAAAGTGTAACAAGCAGCCCCAGCTCCTTGATGTGTTCGCTTCGCAGTCTGCGTTTTTGTTAAAACATCAACCTCTACCCCAAGAACAAGGGTAATGGGAGGGTTTTAAAGCAGTGCTTGGTACATGATCGGCCTCAACAGACACTTGTTAACCCAGTACTTGACTTGGCCTCACACTCACCAAACTTCTGGGTGAGGAAAGCTGCCATCAAGGTGTGACACAGAAGCAAAAAGCTTTCACTTTGGAACCTATTACTTTTTTTTGTAATTACATAAACAACTACAAAGGGCATAAATCTGAAAAAGTTTTGGTAATTTTGTAATACATATTTGCTTTTGTGATGAGGTATCCCTTTAGCACTAGATAATATAGTATAAACTCTACTAGTTTGTCTGTTTTTTGTGAATCAGTAGCCATTTATATCTGTCTCAAAGGTATACAAGGCTGAAGGTAAGGCTTGGCAGAATTCGACAAATCCTTTTTTCAGTTCCTAGCACTCAAAAGAAAAGAACACATTCTCATCAGATCCTCAGAGACAAAGATGTGTACCCTACACTTTGTAGCAAAGGAAACAAAAGCTGGTGGGGAGCACAAAGGTTTATTTTGAGTCTGGATCCTGACAACAGTGTGGACAAAACCCAGGTTGTCTAAAGGGGAAGGACCGCACTGGCATGGTCGTGTTAAGCTTCTGGTACACGGTTAAGCAGAGAAACTAAACCCTGCACTCATTTTACGCGCGTTCCTGGATTCCAGGCTAAGAACTGCCCCGAAGCTCCAGGTGAAAAGGGTGTGACTTTGAGTGAGGATCTGCTTCCCTGTCCTGCGGCCCCGCCGGCAGCAACCCTGAGGTCTGAGCCTCAGCTGGGCCCCCCCCCCCACCTTTGTTTTCTTTCCCTATGGAATGTAGAGAAAGCACCATTTTTATTTATTTTTTTTTATTTTTCCTTTTTATAGCAATGCAGAAAGACACTCAACAGACCCAACAGCTTCTGCTCTGGGCAGGCCTGAGCCTCGCCCCCGCGGGCACCCTCGGCCTGGCTCCCAACCCCACCATATGGGCTGCGGGAGGCTCGCGGCCGCCGCCGGGCTTGGCCGAGCCGAGGGGCGGGGCCGAGGGCACGAAATGCCAGAACTGCTGAGTCCCTTGCGGCAGGGGCTCCCTGGAGCTCGCAGCAATTCGGGCGAGTCCCGGGCGCCTCAGCCTGCACCCCCAGAGGCGCGGACACCGACCAGCCCCCGCCCCCGCCCCCCGCAAAGAGCCGGGCAGGCGGCTCAGGGGCGTTAACTGGCTGCGGAGCTCCGGGCCGGGCGACCTGGCTTCACTCCGTCCCGCACCCACGGTCGGTCGCACTCACCGAGCCGCCGGGCAGACCGGTCCGGGAAGCCGCTGTCAAGGCGTGACCCGGAAGCAGAAGCGGCCTGCGGCAGGCCCAGGTTTACGGCGAAAGGCCGCCGAGTTGCGTGGGCGCCTGCGCGCTGGCCAATGTGAAGGAGCGGAGTGCGCCTGCGCAGTCAGGATACTTCAACTTTCCTAGGGAGTCGGTTGCTTTCTCCTGTCTCTGCCTCTAAGGAATGGGTGTGGGCGCAGTCGCTAGTTCGCCCCCAGCCTTGGGCCTGGCATCCTGGTCTACTGTTGGAAAAGAAACCCACGACTCCCGGCTTTCAAGCCTAGTCTGTAAGGCTGTGTCCCACCAGTGTCTGCATCCGAAAATAGCATTCTCTGCTCAGCACCGTCCGTTTCCACGTGGAGTGCAAGCTTCACATAAGTGAAACAGCGAGTGGCTGGTGACTGCCTCTCTAATTTTGATCTGATGGATGAAGCCCGGTTTATTTCAGTCGCTCATCTCTCTGAGAATTCACTCACGGCACAACAAAAGCACGTTTCCACCTCTACACTGCAGAAAGGATAGGGCCAAAGGATCCATCAAGACAGAGTACTCCACCGCTGTCTGTAGGTGTGGGCCCTGACTGCTCTTGAGGCAATGGCGTTGCACCGCGCAGCACAGTATGAAGAGTGCAAGCCTAGGGCATTGGCTTTGAGGCTGATTTATTACTTCACTCTGTTTCTCTGAGTGCTGACTTTCTCGAATGTTGACCGTAAAGATACTTAAATATCCTATTTCTAGACATTTTGATTTTACTAAGCTTCAAAGCAAAAAGTCTTGCTTCCAAAGCGCTGTCTTCCGTTGCCCAAATTCGATGCTTCTGAACCACAAAACAGAACCTGTGAGATGTCATTATAAAATCGCAAAGCCTACAGTGTCTGTTCCATTTTTGCTTCTTCTGGTGTCTCCTTTCTAAAGAAAGATAAGGACAACAACGATTCTCAGTTTTTTATTTTAATATTACTTTTGTCATAAAAACATTCAAACATACAGAAAAACTAGAAAGAATAGCAGCATGAAATCTTTATAATCATCACCTATTTGTAAAACATTGACATTTCATCACATTTAAGATCTCTTTTTTCAAGATTTAGGTTGTTGTTGCTTTTCTTTTTTGTTTTAGACAAACTACTCAAAAATGTTTGTAATCCCTGCTGCATTGGGGGATTTTTTTTTTTCCTGACAAGACAACTAATATAAATGTATGAATGACTGCATTTTACTAATAAGTGATAAAATAGACTACCCATATGGGTTATTTTGAAGTGCCTTGGAGACTTTGTCATCACAGCACATAAGTTTTAGATTTGCCTGTTCACGGAACATTTACTGAGCACGTATTCTTTTCAGCTCAGCCTTTCTGGGGGCAGGGATGAAGTGTGGTTCCTTTCGATTAAGGAATCGGAAGACAAATGGGATCATTGTCAATTGCTGTTAAGGACAATCATGGCAACAAAGGTTCTGCATCCAAAGTTAGTGTTGAAGCACAGTTCTCCAAAATGAAACCAAGAGTTACAGGAAGGGGACCTGGGAAGATCTTCCTAGGGAAAAATTTCTGCGATTGAGTCCAGTCTGTCCTTCCACCCAAATATTCCTTTCCCCTCAAGCAAACAAGGTTCTTTGGCACCAGAGAGTTTGAAAGGTGTTCACTGTTGTTGTAAAGAAGTAAATTCACATTTTGGCCTGTCAGTGAATGAGAGCTGCAGCTACAGAATAGGAAATTGTCAGTATTTCCTTGGGCCCAAAGGTGGACCACATAAAAAGACCAACAACACAGTTGCCTACCGAATGAAGGGCAGTCTGGAGGCATGAAGGCACCAGATGGGCTGAAGTTAGAGACAGACAACAGAAATGCATTTAGTTAAGAGGGCCCTGATGATGGAACCTCCAAAGAACAGATAAAGGCCTCCTTTAGGGGGGAAAATATCAGTTTTACCATCAGTCAGATAAAGTGTTGACCTTCCGAAGAGCAGCCCTCTGGACTCAGGCATTCTGCCTCCTCCCACTCATACACAAGCAGATGGAAAGGCAGCCAGCTGATGGGGACGGGAGCTTGGGAGTGTGGGAGGAGAGATGTAGTGAGTCTAGGAGAAAGCTGACGGCTGGCAGCCACCAACACAGACCCTACCTGGGGGAAGGAGAGAGCAGTCTTGGAGTGATTAATACCCTAGAATCAAGATTTGAGAATCCAACTAACATTTTGGACTGGAAACGTTCTAAGTATGAAATCTAGGCTGTCCTTTTTTATTTTAATTTCAAAGAACTGCTCTGTAAAAGAGTGTCAGTTGTCAGAGAATGAGCCAAAAAGTAAAGGTCTGCCTGATTTTTCCATTCAAGAACCAAGGAAGATAACTTAACCCCAGCTCCTAGGCAAAACATTCTAAAAGATGCTAAAAGCCAAAAGAGCGAAGTCGCATTTTGATCACACCCCATGGCTTATGCATTCCATATCTCTATGCTCTCACTGTACATAGTTTTTTTCTGTCCTTAGTAGTTTGAATAGAAGAAATTCATGAGGTTTTTTTGTTTTGTTTTGTTTTTTGTTTTTTGTTTTTGTTTTTGTTTTTTTGTTTTTTTTGTTTTTTTTGTTTTTTTTTTTTTTTTTGCATGCTGTGTTTCCCATAAGACTTTTAGGTCATTTTTCCCTATGTTAATTCCAACTCTGCCCTCAAGAAGGGCCCAGTAAATGGTGTTAATTGGCAGACAGTCTCACTAGTGTTTCTATTTTCAGAGCTGGGCATAAACTTGAGCTGGAAACTTGATAATGCTGCTACGGTTGTACCCACTGCTGCTAGCAGCAGTCAACATGGATTAGTGTCTAGACTGAGCGGAGGCCACAGGAGTGAAGCAGCTTTCAGATCTCATGTCTTGCCTTTTAAGCCACGTGCACGATTCCTTTCGGGACTGAAGCCGTCTCTTCTCTTACCAGCTTCACGTATTTTTGTGGTTTGAAGCAGATCCTTTGGAGAGACAGGAAGCTGGAGGAGAGGAATTCTGCCTTGTAAGCTTCTGAGTGGTAACAGAGCGCCTTTCACAACAGCTTTCTGGGCTCTGGCCAAACTCATCAAATATGCTCCTGCCTCAGACCTCCTTCCTCAGGGACACACATCTAATGTTGATGGCAATTTTCCCCACATCCTGCCTAGAGGAAGGTGACTAAAGTGTGAGGAGGGACCATTCTTAGGTGCTCTTATCACCAAAAGAACAGAAGCCAAAGGAATAGGAGATACTCTTAAACATGGGGAGAGAAGTTCGGGTCAAAATTAACAAGATAGAATGAAAAATTAGGACCCACTCACTATCTAGCTGGTTGGGAAAAATCTCTCCTAACACAATCGTATATTTTACCTTTCTCTGAACTTATTTAATATTTAGGGTTGTCACTTAATGTTTTTTTTTTGTTTGTTTGTTTGTTTTGTTTTTTTGTTTTTTTGAGACAGGCTTTCTCTGTGTAGCTCTAGCTGTCCTGGAACTTGTTTTGTAGACCAGGCTGGCCTTGAACTCACAGAGATATGCCTGCCTCTGCCTCCTGAGTGCTAATGTAGTTCTTCACATTTAGAGATAATATAACACCATATCAGCACAGTAGGAAACAACATTCCAGTTCTGAGCAAGTTGCATTCCATATCTGAGCCTCAGTTTACTGGCCCATACAACGAGACCAGAGAACACCTAGTCCAAGGGTGAAGTTCACAAAACCTAGGCCATGTTTGTGAAGACCAGTTTTATATGCCACATAAAGCATTATGGGCTACTACTATGCCGTCTTCATATTAGCTTGTGTTTGTTTAGAGGAATTGCCAAGTGCTTTGTCCTTTTGGCCCTATTAAGGATGAGACATATTTCCCATATTTATTCCTTCTGTGTAGCAAAGTCTCCTCACATAGTAGGTGTGCTGGCTAGTTTTATGTCAACTTGATATAAACTAGAGTCATCTGAGAGGAGGAAAACTCAACTGAGAAAATGCCTCCATAAGATCAGGCTGTGGGCAAGCCCGAAGGGCATTTGATTTATTAATGATTGATGTGTCATGCCAACCCTAGGCTGGTAGTCCTGGGTTCTAGAAGAAAGCAAACCCCCAACTAGACATCTCTTACCACTGAATGAAACCTCCAGTGCTAGGACTGCGTTCATCTGAGCTGCTGGCCAAAGGGACTCCATGGAAACCCCCAAACAACCCGGGCTCTAACCAAGGCTATTGGTTCTTCTCTGTAAACCGAGGGTAACTCCGCATTGCTGAACTCAGCATCTACATAACTCACCAACACGAAGAAGCCAAGCTGCTGCCTATCTAGAGCCCTCACCCCTGCGGATTGGCTCTCATGGAAGGTACTCTGCACGCTACCAAAGGAGAAAGGTAAACGTCGACCCAGCTACAAACCCTTTGATCCACAGTGGTGACCTGCAAGCAAGACATGCTGGTACAACGGAAGTTGTGAGAGTAGCTAGCCAATATCTGATTGGATTTAAGGAATTTGATTGGATTCCATGAGATGGAACCTCTGCCCTACACTGCCCAGATGGCCAGGAACCCGAGACAAGATACTCCACGGACCTAGAGAAAAACCAAATATATTGTTCCGCTGAAGGAACGTTCTGCCATACATGGGTCAGCATCTCTCTTGGCCGTCATCAGAGACTCTCTCTCCTCCAGTTGATGGGAACAAATACAGACACAAGCAGACAATGTGTAGAGAGTGAGAGACCTTGGAACACTTGGTCCTAAGCGGGATGTCTCCCTTAAATCCCTTCCCCCAGCGCTCAGGAAGGGGAAGAAGGCAGAAATGTTGTAAGGGCCAACGGGGGGAGGGGTAGACAACACCAAGGAAACAAGGCCTTCTAGGCACAGCAGGACTGATGCAACTTTGATCCCAGAGAGCATGGACAGAGCCTACACAGGTCTAAGCTGGGGTTCCAACATAGGGTCCCAGTGTTGGGAGGGGGAAGCAGACACAACCCCCATCCCTAACAAGCTATCCCCATTGGTAACTACTGGGAAAGGATAAGCTAGTTTTCTGCAACTGAGTCTCTCATTGGGT